AACTCCACGAGAGCACCTCTTTACGAGCGCTTGGTCTCACACTGTCCGCTGATCTGAGATGGAACAATTACTTTGAATCAATAGCTTCTTTCACCGCAAGAAAAGTCGGCTCCCTGTGTCGCGCCAAAAGGTTTTTCTTGCCTGAGTCCATCCCTCAAATCTACAAATCAACCATTCGCGCTTGCATGGAATACTGCTGCCATATATGGTCTGGTACCCCCACTGTTCGCCTTAAGGTCCTCGACAAGATCCAGAGATGGATAAGCAATGGGGTTGGTCCTGATCTGGCATCTCGTCTTCAGTCCCTCTCTCACAGACGTGCCGTCGCCTCCCTCTGTCTTTTCTACAAATACTTTCACGGTAACTGCTCCGACGAGGTACTATCGCTACTTCCAAGACTGCATGAATTTAAACGTGCAACTAGGCTGGCATCACAGTCCCACCCTTTCACTGTCGAAATGGTTAAATGTGGCCATCTCTTCTACTCCAATAGCTTCATGTCTCGCACTTTTCGCCTGTGGAATTCCCTTTCTATTACTTGTTTCCCTGATAGCTATAATCTCCAACTATTCAAATGTAATGTCAGTCGACATCTCCAGATGCACTAAACTATCCCCTACCCTTCTCTTCATCTTTTCTTCCATCACACGTTTTTACTCTCGCTCGCACTCTGTAACCCACAGCGTACTAGTGGCATCCCACCTTGTTGGGGTGAAATGCTTAGAAAAAATAATATGAGGACATCAATAATTCCAGTTGGAGTTGGAGCCCTCGGATTGATTGGAAAAGGTTCCGATAGACTCATTGAAGGAATTCCTGATAGCCCTTAAAGAAATACAAAAAATTGTACTCACAAGTACAGCTCACACATTACGAAAAGTTTTATTTATGTAAAATCTTTGTGATCTTAGGCTTTTGGTTCGTTTGTTTTTTTTTTTTTATAAATGTGATCAGTGGAGAAAGCTGTCATGAAACCATTTCTGACTTAGATTTCTGGTTGGGACCCGGAAAGAAAAATGTATACAACAGAAATCTAAGGAAATAATAATAATAATAATAATAATAATAATAATAATCAGAAGAAAAAGAACAGTTGCTCTATAATATTCTAAGAAAAACCTTTTTTTGCCTGAAATAAAGACTTGGTAAGTGATTGCATCAAACAACAAAGAATCATCTATGACTGATATATTAGGAATCTATACCAGCGAATAAAATTCTTTCATTGAGGAAATCGGAATAAAGTATTGTATCCCATCGCTCCAGAAGTCTCTGTTGCTTGATTTTGCTAATTTAAAGTAATCCTACTAATAATAGGATCACTAGGAATGCTTATAAAGGATATCTCAATGATCTTATATATGAGCTACAAAGGATTGAGCTCAGAAACAGCGCACACTCAGAAAAATTCTCTCGATATCATATTATCGATATCTTGGAAAAGCCTTTTTTTACCTAAGGTCTCAAATCTTCGATTCTTGTTAAAAGAGTGTATCAAATAGCAAATCAAATTAATAATAATAATAATAATAATAATAATAATAATAATAAAGAACGCGGAAGTAGTAACCACAGAATGCAAACATGTCGACACTAACCCTCCAAAAATAAAATGAATGGGAAAAGAGATCGAAAGATCTTTCAGAATCAAGAAGGAAAATAAAATATATGAGAAACGGAAATATACAATAACTAATGAAAGAAAGAAAAATAGAAGAAAAATACTCTCGCAGTAACACACGAACGCGTCAAAACACCAAAGAGAATAGGAACTTGTGCAAAGATAAAAAGATAAGTTAAAAGGAAAAGAAGAAAACGAAAAAGAAAAATGAAAAGAAAAGACTAAACATTTTATGAATATTTGAGCGCGTGCGTTTCAGTGTCAAGAAAAGAAGTCTAATAAGATTTTAATGTAAAACTTTTCGGAAAAGTTTCCTGCGAATCTGAGCTTGATCTGATTAGCAATGAGTGTTTGTTACAGATCACGTGACCTGACGCGAGCCAAGGTGGCGAGTCGCGTCAATGTTCAAGCAGGATCCGTGCTTATCGAGTTAGGACCAGACAGTATAGTGTCACAAAAAAAAAAAAAAAAAATTTAAGTTTTCTTCCCTGCCTTCACCAGTCATTCACATCGACTTCAAGCCTCTTTCTCTCAATCTTTCATTGATTACATTCAACTAAATATATATATATATATATATATATATATATATATATATATATATATATATATATCCGATCGCCCCAAGTGATGCGATAATGCTACTGGGAAAGGAAGAGAAGGAAAAAGACTTTAGAAGAAACCGGAAGCCCAAACCCCAATCAGGAAACAACGGAGTTTAAACCGGAAGAACCTATCAACACCTATAGAGAAAAATATATGTAAAATAAATAGTGAATAAAATTTCACTGTTTTGGCGGAGACATTAAGTATAGATTTGAAGTAGACCTTAGAAGGAACATATATATATATATATATATATATATATATATATATATATATATATATATATATATATAAACAATTTAAAAAAAAAAGAGACCACTTTAAGGTTCCATTGTTATAATTTATTTCAGTAGAGATTTTATTTTCTCTGGATCTTCAAAATTCCCTTTCAAGGGTGAAAAAATGAATTTGAACCGCAGTATGTCGTTACTTATATATATATATATATATATATATATATATTTCGATAAACGTGCAATCAATTTACAAATAATAAAAGCTTCTAGTAAAAATAAGAACTAATGCGGCATAAATTTATAGAAACAAGAATCTTTTCATTCATAACGGATTCGGAGGTTTTTGTATATTATTTGAATTGTTTGCGACGATGTATTTCTCGCCAATTAAATCATTAACCTTTGCATTTGTTTTTGTGTGAATAATTCATGAATTTGTAAATTGATTGCACGTTTATCAAAATTAAAATAACTGATCCAAGTGCGACTTTTGGATAATAAGTGCGACATTACTGTAATTATTGAACAATATAGTTCATGCCACTTTGACAGAAAATTTACCAGTAAAAAATTTGTTTATCACCATATTTGTACATGAACTGTAAAAACAACTGTAAAAAATTTAAAATCAAACTCAGCGTTGCTATTGCACGCTCCAAAAACAATAACTCATTTCCAATAGTATTTTCGGATACAACAATACATATATTTTCGTTGTCCTCTTATTACTAAGAGAAAAAACAAGAACAACATCTATTCCATACCTGAAGATGTCTGTAGGAACAGACGAAAGCTTGTAGTAAAAATAAGAACTAATGCGGCAGAAATTTATAGAAAAAGGATCTTTTCATTCATAACGGATTCGGAGGTTTTGTATATTATTTGAATTGTTTGCGACGATGTATTTCTCGCCAATTAAATCATTAACCTTTGCATTTGTTTTTGTGTGAATAATTCATGAATATATATATATATATATATATATATATATATATATATATATATATATATATATATATATATATGTGGGGGCGGCAACCATTCATTCAAATATTTATCGTCGGTATATGACAGAGAACATGTTTAATTGAATATAACACAGAAGGAAAATTTAATTATTTTTTTAGTTAGTTTTTCCAGCAATCTGGAAAAAAATATATTTCTTACATTTTTTCCGTTTGGTTGAGTAAAGGGAATACGTAAATTGTCCGTATTCTCCCTTGATTTCAAACTAGTGAATCAAAGAAATCCGACCCTCAATTCGAATAGCGCAAATCAGCAACTGTCCAGAATCAGTCAAAGGAAAGAGTACCATATTGCATCGAGTTAATGTTAGATCAAGTATTCATTTAGTGTCCAAGCAAAAACTGCTGCAGTTTGACGGCTATGTTTTACTCATCCGCCATTTTGGATTATCATTTCCTTTTATTTTTGTTTTTACAGAATTATCTTAAATTTTCAGTTTTCTGGAAGACTGCAAATGATGCAGTGTTGCTCGTTACTGAGAAAGATAAAGTGCTTAGCAACTGCAGATTTAGCATTTTGCATGGAAAAAGGTTGACTATAGAGGAGAAATAGGTTGAATATGTCGGCATACTTTCTGTCCAGTGTTGCTCTTACAGGTTCAGCTGTAAGGGCAACACCAGGCAGAATATGAAGGAGGAGAGTGGTGACTACGCCGGGGTAGAATGCGCTAACTGAATAAATGATGAATGCTAGCAGAACAAAATTATATGCTTTGTAAATATCTGGGAAGTGTTTTAACAGGGGACAGAAATGATGACACTGAAATCCGAAGGCGAATTGTAATGGCCAAAGATGCATTCTAGAAGATAAACAGAGTATTAAGTATTAAGAAACAGAAAAAATCCGTTACTAACAAATAAAAGAGTACTGAAGGAGGTATGGTGGAGTAATGGATAGCGGCTCGGATTGAGGAATCGGAGAGCCGAGTTCGAATTCTAGTCGAATCCATTACATTCATTTACGTGTTAATACCATTGGGAAAGGTATGAATCCTCTTCTTCTCCCCTCAGGGACAGACCGGGTCTACCACAACTGGTCTACCACAGATAGAAATGCCAACCTACTGCAGGAAAAAATCTTCCTAATCACTCATGGCACATAACTGACTGACTGAACTGCTACGTGAAATTTGTCCTCCTATATGGCAATGAATGCTGGACAGTCTCCTCAGAGATGAGTAAGAGACTTATAGAAATATGGTTCTACAGAAGAATTCTGAGGATTCCATTTACCGAAGATGTGAGCAAAGACGAAATTTTAGAGGGTATGGAAAAAAAAACATGCTTCAAATCAAGAAGAGACAGTTGAGTTTCCTATGGCTCATAATGAGGAAAGAGGGATTGGAAAATCTGATACTCACATGACAGTCTGAAGGTAAAAGGACAGAAGAAAATAAAACAGAGTTCTACTTAGTGAGGTTGAGTAAAGAGATTGTGGAACAAGGGTCAGGAGAAATAACAACATTTATTAAGAGCTCTGAAGTTCAGAAAATTGTGGAGGACCATGAATGGCTACATACTAAAAAGATTGGTGGGATAAATAAGGAAAAAAATAAAGAATATTAAAGGGAAAAAAGATAAGAAAGAAAATAAAATAGTCTTTTTAAACAGAAAGAAAGAAAGAAAGAAAGAAAGAAAGAAAGAAAGAAAGTGCGTAGAAATAGGGTAGACTAAAGGACGGGAGCTGCAAGGGTACAAGAACGGAATATGAGTAGACAAATCATTATCGAAGAGATAAAGACATCGAATATAATACGGAAAGAAATTAAGTCTGGAACTAAAAAAAAAAATGGTACAAGTAATTTGCCAAACCAGCAAAGAATGGAAATAAAAGATTTTTGAGAAAAGAGAGCGATGAAGAAACAAGAAAGAAAAATGAAAAGAAAGAGTGGGAAAGAATATATTAATAATGGAGAAATATGCGGCAATGGATTTGAAGAAGAAGAAGAAGAAGAAGAAGAAGAAAAGAAGGAGGAGGAGGATATAATAATAATAATAAAAAAAGAAGAAGAAGGATGAGGAGGAGGAGGCTAAGAAAAGGAGGAGGAGGAGGATAATAATAATAATAATAAAAAGAAGAAGAAGGATGAGGAGGAGGAGGCTAAGAAGAAGGAGGAGGAGGAGGATAATAATAATAATAATAATAAAAAGAAGAAGAAGGATGAGGAGGAGGAGGCTAAGAAGAAGGAGGAGGAGGAGGATAATAATAATAATAATAATAAAAAGAAGAAGAAGGATGAGGAGGAGGAGGCTAAGAAGAAGGAGGAGGAGGAGGATAATAATAATAATAATAATAATAAGAAGAAGAAGAAGAAGAAAGAGGAGGAGGAGGAGGAGGATAATAATGAGGAGGAGGATGAATGATAGGAGAACAACAACAAAGGAAGAAGAAGAAGGAAGAGGAGGAGGATGATAATAATAATAATAATAATGAGGAGGAGGAGGAGGATAGGAGAACAGCAACAAAAGAAGAAAAAATAAGAAGAAGAAGGAGGAGGAGGAGGATAATAATAATAAGAAGAAGAATAAGAAGAAGGAGGAGGAGGAGGAAGAAGAAGGATAATAATTATAATGAGGAGGAGGAGGAGGATGACTGATAGGAGAACAACAACAACAAAAGAAGAAGGAAGAGGAGGAAATTATAATTATAATAATAATAATAATAATAATAATAATAATACGGTGGAGGTGGAGGACGGATGAATGATAAGAGAACAACAACAAAAGAATAAAAAATAAGAAGATAAAAATTAATTTTATTATTTACTTAATAAACAGAAAATTATTTGTCGCCTCATAGAACCAGGCAGCAAATAAGAGAAACACTTTTAAAATTTAAATAGCCACACAAGTGTGCATACACATATGATGATAGCCAATGAAAACGTTCTTGGAGGATGGAAATGGAATAGTTGCCGGCAAGATTACAGAAGATAGTAAAAAAAAAGATAAAATTATTTTGTTCAATAAAGTTAATGTCGAAAAGAGTTTTTGAAAATGTCTTTCATTTTAATTTCACAAACCCAAAGTATTTTTTGTTCATAGATTTCTTCAATAAAGTTAATGTCGAACAATTAAAAAGACTTCTCATATTAAACCAAAACTTCTTAACTCGGGGTCCATGGATCCCTACGGGTACCATCGATGGGTACGATGACCTCCTGAAGTCCGTAAGGATCAGATAGAAATTAACATTTATATTCGCTATACAGTCCGCCCTTGTCCCAATCGGCAGTGAAAGAAATAAAGGAAAATGCATCCTGAAACTGATTGAAAGAAAGCGCACTTAGCCAGTATTTACAGGGCCGACCGCTAGGCGTCTCTTGACCTACATTTGGGTCCATGTTTATCATTTAAATGTGTGTCATAATTATCTACACGATAGCAATCTCATGCCAATCCATAAGAGCAAGTGATAATTCTCATTTTCAACGATTTATCATGGCTTGATTATCTTCTCATATATTGGTGAGAATTAATTGAACAAAATTTATTTCAAGCGTTGCTGGCTGAAAAGTGATGTTTGTCAAGTACGCATCAGTATGGAGAATTGCACGTACATGTGCTGTAAAAAAAAGCAATCAAACTGTGAATATCTGCTTGTCTATCTGTCTATGAAGGGACCGTTCTTATAGGGGTTTCTAGCTCAATTGGTCCGTAACTCAAGGGATCTGGTGCTTTAAAATGGTTAAGATCCACTGCATTAAACAGAATAAAGGTTTTACTTCTCCCATAAGTAGTTTTTCACTCTTTTGCCTTCAAACAATGATCTCCAGAAAGAGCCCGTTCTTCCAGTTGGTATCAGTCATATTTCCTTTAATTCTGTAGCAGGATCTGTCTATATCTCTGAGATGAGGTATTATGATTACTTGCATTATTTATATTCGGACTGTTGCCCTCATCTTCATTGCCATATTCACAACGTTTCGACCGTCGAACGTTCCGGCCTTCTTCAGGTGATTGGAATTTCGAACCGAACCCTTTATTTCCTCCAGCGGGGGAGATTGTTCTAGTTCCGCGTCCCATGCCTCTTCCGGTTGTCTCGGTTATTTACATTTAAGTCAACTCTCCAAGATTTGGTTCACCACAGCTGTTGTCTTGTATTGAACTCACAACTCTTTGGGTCTAGTCACTGGATCTAACCAACGTCTTTATCCACTGGGAACAGAAGGCCGGAACCTACAACGGTTGAAACGTTATGGATATCGCAATGACGATGAGAATAACAGTCCAAATATCTGTAACATGATTTGCCGCTTTAGACTGAGAGAGGTTGCGTTTTTTTTTTTTAAATGTCCTGTATTTGTAGTCATACCCTGATGTCCTCCATTCTTGTACTTTCTACTTACTTCTTTCTTTCTATTTTTGCAGGGGTGGATATTTTACAAACCTATTTATATATCGAATTAAAAATTTGTTGAAATTCTTCCAAACGCATTCATTATTGAGCAAGTCATATTTGGCGGGTCTCTGGGGACTACGACGTGATGTAGCGGTTAGCAAACTTGTTTCGCTAGATCAATTACACCTAAGAAGTGAGTTCGATCCCAGTTGGGGGACCCACACTTTCAGCCCTGCGCTACATTTAGCAAGTTATTTTACCACAAGTAAGCTACGTTTACTATCTCGCGAGATTTTGGCGTTTCTTCACCTCTCTAGAGAAGTTCTGTTATTTTTCGTTTCTATCCTCATGCTTACAAATGTTTACAGTATTTATATTTCTAAGCGGTCACTTGTTTGACCAAGATCTCATACAATATATTATATTGGATTGATGTAAACATTTCTACCGCCATCTTTCATTTTTTTCTTCCTTTGTTTTTCATTTTTTTCTTCCTTTGTTTTTCATTTTTTCTTCCTTTGTTTTTCATTCTTTTTCTTTCTTTCATTCTATTTCTTTTCTTTCTTTCTTTCTTTCTTTCTTTTCTATTTCTTTTCCATTCTTTCTTTTTCTGTCCCTTTTGTTTCTTTTTAATTTTGTTTTTTCCTCCTTTCTTTCACTTTCTTTTTTATTCCTTGTTTACTTCTTTCATTCTTTTTTCTTTCCTTTTTTTCTTCGGTTTTCCTTCGTTCATTTTAACTTCCGTTTTTCTTTCTTACTGCTATATTGGGCTTCGTAGCCGTTTTAGTATAACAATGCTACGGCTACTTGCCGTGACACCTGTATTAATTAGTCTTATTCCAGACCCAGTCCCCCAACCGAGATGCGATGAAACACAATGTCGAGATTACTGTGTAGAACCCGAGTGTATCCACTCGGGACAATGGTCAGAATTTACTCTGACCCCGCGAAACCGGTTTCGGGTACATTGCTTGTCTGATCTTCTCTGCCGAGTTTCTGTCCGTGGACAGAGCCCAGACTGAGTCTCCCTCTGTCTTAAGACAGAGAGATTGACAATCAGAGCCAGGCAACGACCTCTGCCCGTAGGTATAGCATTGTCTGTGTTCCTCTCTGCATGAAGCCAGAGAGTTCAACAAGACTGTCACAAGCCTGCAACGAACTGTCTGACTGCCAAACGACTGGTATTTACCCAATCCTCCCCACCAGGAGGAATATGGCACAAGGCCAGGTTTTATATAAGGCGATTCGGAGCTCGTTGGCTTAGACAAAAACTCATCTTAGATCCCACATATACGGGATCGTTTTGTCTACATACCCAGACGGGTCTCTGCCCTTCGGCTTCGCCTCCTCTGGGTTCCTCTCTGTCCGAAGTCTATCGCAAGCCAAGCAGCGGACCGCCTAACTCCAAACGGCTGGTATTTACTAAACCTCGCAACAAGGCAAGTTGTGGCACAAGACCAGTTTTTACGTGGGGCGATAACGAGCCCGTTGGCTCGGACAAAAATTCCCCTTAGACCTCCGCATACACGGAGTCGGCTTTGTCTACCTTCCCAGACGAGACTCTGCCCGTGGACATAGCCTCGTCTGGGTTGCTCTTTATCCGAAGGCAGAGAGTTTGTCAAGCCTATCGCGAGCCTGGCAGGGAACTGCCTGAGTCCAAACAGTTTCTTGATCTTCTACCTATGTATCGGAGCTATTTTTTTATAGTTATGAACTAGTTTATATAGTCAACGGGGGGGGTACTATTTACGCCACAACATATACTCATTCTTTCTTTTGTTTTCTCCCAATTTTTTGTTTCTTTTTTCTTTTTATTTCTTTATTTTTGCTTCTTTCTTTCTCTCTTTTCTTGTTTCTTTTCTTTTCCTTATTTCTTAGTCTTTCTTTCTTTCTTTTTTCCATTTTTATTTTTTTATTTTTCTTTCTTTCTTCCTTTCTTTCCCCTTTTCATGTTTCTTTTTTTTCCTTCTTTCTAACACTTTCTTTCTTTTACTTCCTCTCTTTCTTTATCCATCCTTTTATTTTTCCTTCTTTCCTTCTTTTGAGTCTTATTATATTTTCTTTTATTCCCCTTCTTTCTGACTCTTTCTTTTCTTTTCTTTCTTTCTTTCGATTTTTCTCTTTTTCTTTATTTATATCTCTTTTATTGTTCACTTCTCTTTCATTGTCTTTCTTTACTTTTCCTTCTTTTTCTCTTTCTTTGTTCTTCCGTTTGTCTTAATTTTTTTCTCCTTTGAAAAAATTTCCCCACTTATCTACCATCGTTATTCTTTCTATTAGGATTTTCTTTCTTTTATCTTTTTTCATTTCTTTCTATTTTCTCCATTATTACTCCGTCTATAAACATTTTTCTTTACCTCTTCCCATGTCTATGTTTTGTTTTTTTTGTTTTTTTTTTATCTACTATCGATCCTCTTTCTCATATTTTCCTTTGTCTTTCTTTATTTTACCATGATAACTTCATTTTTCTTTCCTTTCTTTTTTTTCTTGTCTTCTTCCACCATCCATTAATTCCACCGCCCGATGTGAGAGTCCTTGCATATGTTTCTATTTTTCCGATCTTAGCAGCCTGTTCTTGCATCGATTCTAACACCAATAATTCTCACTGGCATCGTTCATTGCTTTCTGATGTTGATTAACAAGAGAAGTGGTCCTAATCTAGGTCCTGATTCTCCCGCAGCTTTACTAACCAGCGTGTGGCTTCATTATCTTGCTATTTTCACAAAGGAGACAGCAACGCTACACTACACAAATCACCTGGATGGAGAGTTTGCACGTCCAAAATGGCCGTATCAATTGATAAAAGCGGGAAATGCAGGCAAACCAGATCACGTGATTTTTCGTTTGTATTCTGCACGAAGTAATGCACGGAAAATGGGCAGATCTCATTGCAACGAGAGCTTCTTTTTCGGTTACAAACACGCATGCGCATTCTTCTTCTTCTTCTTCTTCTTCTTCTTCTTCTTCTTCTGCTTATTATTATTATTACTATAACTATTATTATTATTATTATTATTTTTATTTTTATTATTATTTTCCTCCTCCTCCTGCTGCTATTGGTTTTTCTGTCGCTTTTCTTTCTTCTTTTACTATTTCGCGTGTCCCTTCCTCGATGTTCAATTTAAATCTCAGACAGTTTCTATAAATGCCCATTCGATTAATTCATATATCATCTAAATTTATCCCTTTATTCTCTCTCTCTCTCTCTCTCTCTCTCTCTCTCTCTATCTATCTATCTATCTATCTATCTATCTCTGTTTATGACACTCGGCTTATTTATATCTTTCGCTTTTTCTCTCAGATTTACTCTCTCTCTCTCTTCTTATTTTTCTATCACTCTTTCATTCTCTCTCTCTTCCCATATATATATATATATATATATATATATATATATGCACACATATGAGACAGACAGAGATTTGTGTATGTGTGTGTGTGTGTGTGTGTCTCACTATCTATCTATCTATCTATCTATATATATATATATATATATATATATATATATATGGAGAGAGACAGACAGACAGATTTGATTGTGTGTGTGTGTGTGTGTGTGTGTGTGTGTGTGTGTGTGTGTGTGTGTGTTTGTCTATCTATATATCTATCTATCTATATATATATATATATATATATATATATATATATATATATGGAGAGAGACAGGCAGACAGAGAGATTTGTATGTGTGTGTGTGTGTCTCGCTATCTCTCTCTCTGTCTCTCTCTCTCTCTCTGTGTGTGTGTGTGTGTGTGTGTTTATGACACTGGCTTATTTATATCTTTCCTTTTTTCTGTCAGTTTTACTCTCTTTTATTCTTGTATCACTCTTTCATTCTCTCTCTTCCCCAAATATGGATATAGATCGACAGTATGAAGAAAATACAGAAAAAACAAACAAAAATTTAATATGCAATTATGCTGTATTAATGTTAATATAAAAAGTCGACGTCGGACGTTTCAATGTCCATGAAGATGGTCTTAAATAGACCGAAACGTCCGACGTCGACTTTATATTAACATTAATACAACATAAATTGCATACATAATAAATTTTGTTTTTCTGTATTTTTCTTCATATATATATATATACACACATATGGAGAGAGACAGACAGACAGAGAGATTTATGTGTGTGTGTGTCTCGCTATCTATCTCTCTCTCTCTCTCTCTATATATATATATATATATATATATATATATATATATCGTAAACATACATACCAGGTTCTGTAAGCTTGGATGTGCGGATGATGCAATGTATGATAGCTCGGAATTGTAAATCGGAGAGTCGAGTTCCAATTCCAGTTCGGTTCGTTATATTCAATTCTGCGCCAATACCTTTGCGAAAGGCATGAATCCACCTCTTCTCCCCTAGCTATGGATTAATTAATAAAATGTGTATCACTAACTCTTTATTATCTAAAAAATAAAGAACATTTTACAATCTAGAAATATTTTTGGGCTTTAAATAACCTGCAAATTATTCATAACAATAGAAAAAGGTATCAATCTAACATACATGTACTAAACAAAAAAATGATTATAGGCCTATGGCTCAGTACTAGGATCAAAGTGTAATATCTGTTTAGACTCATTTCAATCTTTGGCTGCCCTGGGTAAGACGTTAAACTACATTCACGTCCTGGGTAAGACGATAAACTGTGTCCAGCAGCAGGAGGTCTTGAGAAGCGTAGAACTACCTCTTAATTGCTGGTGTCCCCAGTTCCACCCTGACCCAGGGTGGTAGCACCTGTTAGGGTCCCAGCTATGGGCAAATAGTAAACTATTACCAGCAATACTTTTTTGAAAAAAATTATTACCAGCAATACAATTTTGAAGGAAAAATATTACCAGAAACAGATTTTTGACAAAACAAAACATTACCAGCAATAAAAAATTTTGTCGCTACTAAATAACCTACCTAATTGATATGCCGTAAAACAAAATAAACCAAACCAATCAATCTTTGGCT